CTCATATAACGAAGATATCCACTAAGGAAGGATTTTTTAAATTTTAAGCCCCAAGAGGGTGAAATAGGGGATAAAATTTTGTATGAAACTTTTTATTCCTTGGACATATTTGCATGAAATTTCGTATGAATTGAGTACTTCAGCGTTTTCTAAAATTCAACCCCTAAGAGGGTAAGATAGGGGATGGTAACATAAAGCCAAAGAGTTTTTTTTGTAGATTGTACGCGGGCGTAGCCGCGGGTCCTGCTAGTCATCAATAAGGTAATATGTACCTATATTGTGTTTATATGTAAGGTAGTGGAAACGCCAGGTTTAGATGATGGACAAGATGACATTCTTACTTAAAATTGTATGGATATTATATAGTTACATATCAAATGCTATGTTGCATAACATGTTGTTATTCCCATTTATTTATATGTAGTTTTCTATTATCGTTATCTCTTGTAAAAAGTCAAGTTGTTTAGATACTAGCGATATTTGCTTTCGCTATGGATAGTGCGTTATATTGAACGGTATTCGGCCGGATAGTTTTGGCCTGAAATTCTGCAACTAGAGCAAAAGCCAAAACCAGACTATGCAATAACCTCACTCACTATACCGTACAGGAAGGCGCTATATTTTCGCTTGCTCTTCAAATCAGGTTCCGATGGATGGCGAAGGGGCTGTGATACAGAAGTGGATTCCATCTTTTGATGGACAAAAATAATTCGCTACTTAATGCGATATACGTTTATGTTTGAACAGTAAGATTATCTCAGTCACTTGTGGGTAATGCCACAATGGTAGCAAAAATTTGTTCATTAGCCTTAAAACTTCTTAAAGGTTTAAATTATAAAACATTTTTCTTAATTGATTTCTAAAGCCTTTATAAATGAAGTCATAGCCTTAATGATCTTATAAAATGTATTTAATAAATAAAATAAAACAACAGTCGACTCGCGAGTGAGTACTCTATTAGTTTTAACTTTGATAGAATCAAAGAGGTCTTTATGGGATATATTGCTCCGGAAGCCCAACTTAGTAGCATTATCGCCATTACGTTATCGTTTAATGGACGATAGACACAGTCGTCGAAAAACATTTCTGACTACTATACAGTATGGGACTTATTCTAAACAACAATGTCTGTATGTACATTATACATATAATATAAAACGTCATCATAGATAAAATACGTCGTAAAAGTTTTATTCTTAAAAAGCTTATTGAAAACTTTTTTGTAATTATGAATGTTTTAAAAATTTTTAATACTACGAATATATATGACTAAATATATATGATTAAATTTCCTGGTTGACTTTAAGTCTCAAAACAATTTTTCATTAAAAGGCTTGTAAAGATATAAGCCGCTTTCTTCAATATGCCTTTCAAATGAGAAAAAAGAGGTTGTAATCTTCTCAATATTGTTTATTAAATATTTTACTACATTCTTATTGATACTGAGTTAAAAGTAGTCTAGTAAGTATATATGTAGAAGTCTTCTGCCTGTAAACTTTCATCTCTACAAAGCACCACCTCTACCCATTGCTGGGTGAAAGGAGAATATAAAATAATAAATAGGCTTTCACTTTTAAAACAATATGTATCTATTATAAGTTTCCATCGTTAAGTAAGAGGGGGATGGTTGAGATGTCTTAATCTTTAAGGGCTTTGCCTATTTCGTTAGTGGTTACAGGTGTGGTTTCTAGACGAAGCAAAAGTTTATATTAGTTTTACAGAGATTTATATTGTTGCGGGTCTCTGGTGTTCATAACGGCGAGGTCACGTTACATACTGGAAGGGACCTGGAGAAAAATGGGATACAGAGTCATAATATTCTCACAGCTCATCTCGTACTGCAAGTTCGTGATAACAATATTGCCCCGAATAGGACCTACCGAAAGGCAGGAGAGAGATGAAATCATTGAATGTTACATAACAAGATTAATAGGCCAATTATTTGGTAGTTATACCTGAAAGCTTTAAAAAATAATATTTTATTAATATCTAAATTATAAATAATGTATTATTAGTATTGGTAATATACTGAATTTATTTTAATCATTCTTATCGTGTTAAAACTATGTAAATCTATATTTAATGAGGTTAATAAAAACAATTAGCCTACATGGCTATTAAATAACAGATCTTATGGCTTACTTAGGAAAAATTCCAATCCTTTCGCAACTACGAACTTATTATCGTCGGACTACTATAATAAAAATGAATATTTGTATGTATATCTTTATTACTTTTTCACCCTAAAACGACGGATTCGGATGTTTAGTACATAGATAAGACTGTAACCTGGGTTCACACATAGGTTTCTAGGCCCCCAGCGACGCACCCGAGCGTTAAACCAACAGTTAAGTATTTTACGAAATATTAAATATTTGTTTAAACTTCAATATCTATGTACTTTATTGATAAGAAAATGCATATCTGTTGTTGAGCGTACGGCACGTCTTAATCTTATATGGATTGCAAAGGTCAGATGGCTATCGCTTGTTTTACATTAATCCGAGGGAGTATTTTAAATATGTACCTTTATACCTACATCAAAGGACTTTTTTTGTAATGATTTAATGTAAAACGTATATTGTGGGTACAGCTTTCTCCTTAAAATTTAATAATTCACGAGCCGTAGCGTTGTGTCTGAGAGGCTTGAGATATTGTGTTGAAAATATTTTAAACTGCACAAATAAGTTTTTAGTTCAATTCCAATGGGAGAATTGGCTAATACCACTCTTAAATTGTAAATTTTATGGTGAATTTGTCTGTCGGCGTGGGGTTAGGATCGAAACGAGCACATGTACGATTCATTCATTCATTTAGTTTGTGAAAATAACGAATGGGTTACGAAATGTTGGAAGGAAAGGCCAAAAGTCACAAATGTGGAGAAAGTTCTTGCTAGTGCGTAAATTCAAAAATAAAATATTAAATTCAAATTATCTTAAATTGAATTATATTTAGGTACAATAGTACCAAGGTAAGAAATATGATACTAAGTAAATATATCTTATTACCGAATTCTACATTCGTTTTTCACTGAAAACTAGATATATATATATATATATATATATATATATATATATAATATAACTGTTCAGTATATTTTTTCCTATGTTAGTTAACAGATTTTCTTTTTTATTTTCATTTAGTTTTTTGGAAATAATTCGTTTTTCATATAAAATAATTAATTATAATCATTCATCATATGTGTTTTTCTTAAATTTTCGATAATGATTTAAAATTTCGTCCACTTTGCGAACACTAGTAGGAATAATTAATTAATTATAGTAATCTTCATGAGAGTCATTTTGTAAGGACTTCAATCATATCATATAACGTCCAAAACCACAATCAGGCCCTAGCCGTGAAATAAAACCAAGATCGTTCTAGGCGAAGGAGACAGTATTTTAACCAAAGGGCTTTAAAAATAGATAATATTCCGTTGAAACTATAATTTCCCAAGAGTTACGTCAACGTTCACTCCATTCATTTAATTTTACTTTTAAACTATCCGAATTCGTATTAATTTATAATTCTAATAAAAAAGTGTATTAAAAGTTTTATAGATTTTTTGCAAATTAAGAAATGTAAAAATGTTATCACCATAGTAAACACCATAATGTTGTGTCCACTGTCCACCGTTCGTGAATTATGCTAATAACTGATAGTTTATCAGCTAGGGCCAAGGTTTAAGCATTAAACCTGTTTTAAATAAAGAAATGGCACAAGAAAAATAATTAAAATTGGCTACTTTTATGTAGTTATTTAACACATATGTCATATTTAGACGAATTTTTATTTTTATTAATAGCATTGAATATATCGTGTGATTTTCGACATCCCCGGGCACTCCTGCGGTTAATAAAAAATATTTTAAGAATTCGTAAATGAATTTTATTTTTATATTGTTTATTTGTATTGTAATATAAAATATTAAACGGTTATTTGTAAACTTAAATTTGCAATAAAACATTAAAGTTCTAGTTTCAATTTAAATATAATAATGTTTTGACAAAATATTTTTGATCTATTAAGATCAAAAATATTTTATCTCTACGTGAGAGCGTAAATTTTAATTTTAGGTATACCTATAATAAAAAAAGAACGTTCATCTTGAATTTTTCCGATAGCCATAAATTATTCGGTGCTTTAAAAAGTGGAGCAATAAATCTTGCGATGATTTAAACTGTACTTTATATTCTCTTTGTGAGCACATTACCATAAAAAAATTAGTTATTTCGGTAACAAAGCCAAAAATATACTCTATATAAAATCTTTGTCGGCATAAAAAAATATTTTACCGTCAATCCAGGCTTTAGATGTAATGTGGGCATGGGTGGAAAAAACAATTATTTAACCACTTCACTATACATTTACGAATATAAAAATCAAACGTCTTTTTGATTAAATACGTATAATAAAACGGGCGCGAAAAATCGGTATCACCCGACGCATGTTTCGATTGAATGTTTTGGACGGGACGACGGGAAGAATCAGTCCAGCCCCGTCCTAAGGTATCGACTTTTAAATTTTGTTGTCATCGCCATCTTGTGGAGTAACTTGGAACAATTTGGTAACGCTACCTATTAACTGTGCAAACGATACATATAAATAATCATATATTTTTATTTTTTGAAATTTAAAATATTATTATTTTTTAAGATAATATTTTAGTATATAAAGTTTAAATAAAAAAATATTAAACCTAATTATTAAATGATACTAGCGCCATCTAGTTTGACTGTACGGTACTTACAAATATTGTAACTTGCAACTGTATCAATTTGATTGTCCAATCGGAAGGAAGAGATGATTTTGTACGCATGCGTGTTGGAGGGAAGTATATTCATTGAAAATAATAATCAGTAGGTTGGTAAACGTTCGTACTGTTGATACGTATAGATGTAAATCGGCTTACATATTTAAATATTATCAGCGTGACCGCCTACACGTTTTATAAATAAACTTTCGTGTTAAGTGCGTACTGTGATTGGATTTTGGCGAAAATGACCAACGCACCTGTGAAAAAAGTCCCCATCCATTTACAGGTACGTAACGGTTTTGCACAACCTGTTGTTTTTGCGTTCGGTTCATATATTTATTATTATTAGCCTTTATAATATTTAATAATAGAAACAAATTAATTTAAATTTCTTTTTTATGTTGATATTTTATATAACTATTTTTTTATTTCAAAGTTTTATATGTACATCAGACCTAAGTTATATTTGCTGGGGAAATAGTGACCTAATTCTCATATAAAATTAGGTTGCCGGCTGGGATTTGGCAGACACCATTCATGCTCATTCCATACAAAATTATATACGATATTTGGATAAAATATAAGATAAAAAGTAATGCTAAGCAACAATATTCAGTAACAACAATATTATTAAAATATCGTAACGATTATTTGTTTCGTTATCGCTTTTTTATAACTACAGTTTTATGAATCGCTTTAGTATTATTATATCACAGATGGATTTATAGGCGCTTATGTTTATTAATTATAAAACGAAGGTATTTATAATATAAGTTGACACGAATTGAGTAATTTGTTATAGTGTGACCACACGGTTGGCTGGTTTCGTTAACAATGTATGTATATAGGTATATGATTATTTTTATCTTGCTCTTAAATTTATGTTACATATTTTCGACAAAAAAATATAGTTAATGTATTCATTAGTTGTAGTTAAATATATGTTTCACGCTAACGTATTTAAACGAAATCATAATTTCTTTAGTTTTGTTTTTGAATTAATACAATATGATCTCTGGAGTTGGGGCTACTGGGTTCATTTATATTAAATTAATTCATTTACAAATGTATTGAAAGCTTTTAACACCTCCAGGTAAATTTCTAAGAAATTAATTAAATTTCTAACAAATTTATTGTTAACTGTAACGCCGGCGTGTCCGCGGTCGCGGAGGGATTATAGGTTATTTTTTAAGAATATACCTAAATATATTATACTTTTAAATAGTAACCTACATCTAATAACATCGAGAAAATAATATTTGTTTTCAGCTATAATGAATATCCTGACAATGGCAAGTTGATGTAACATACATTTTTAATTAGCACTAACAAAATAAATTTGATTAACTTTTCGGACGTTAAGGGTGCCGGGTGCGGGTGAACGACCCCCAACGAACCCGCAAAGGGTCTAGGTTGGCAACAGAACGTGACATGCGCAATAAACTTCAGCTTAGAGTAAGGATCGACGTACAAACGCACGAGATGATAATACAGCATTAGCTTTCGGAGGCTGTTTTAGTTAGGCTCCCACTCAGGGTAGGTAACTAAAATAGGGATTTGCACACCTTTTTCCTTCTAAGAATTTAAACTATCAAGAGTACAACATTCAGAAGTCTATAAAAGTATTAATTTAATAAAATAATCTATACTAGTAATATCAATAAATATAACAAAGGCAATCAAATATAGATATGTTAGGGAAACAAGATAAAAAGGTGCCCTGTATAATGGTAAGTCGATCCTGCTATTTATATGCCTTACTTACTTAAGCTTGTAAAACCAAACGGTTGTTTATAAATGCTCGTCAATGTAAACGCGTATAGATAACGTTATGTGGGATATTTTCCCTAGAATAGATCAAAGATTAACCTATCATCAGCAGTTCTTTATTATAAATTATTGATTTGAATTTTCTAATCTTAAAGGTTCTTGTGAAATATCTATACTTTTATACTACTATTATAAAGAGGAAAGATTTGTATTTTTGTATGTTTGTAACGAATAAACTCAAACTACTGGACCGGTTTAGATGAAATTTAGTAAGAAGATAGTTTGAAACCCTGGAAAGGAAATAGAATATTTTTTATTCCCAAAATTATGATCGGAAGAAAATGGGGATCAAAGTTTGTACGGGGAATTGACCTGAGCGAAGCGAAGGTGAGTGACTAGTTTTTTATAATATCACACGTATCTATATGCATTTTTGATTTCGGGGTTTAAAAAATCTTACGTCGTTCTCAGTTAGTTACGCAATATCGTAATTCGAGACACTGCGTTTTTGAGGTTTAAAGTGCTTTAATATGGATTTATCAGACCGCCTGAACACGCGACCGCGGGGTTAGCCATGACTCCGCAGATAAATCTAGGCTCTAGTCGTCTCGTGTGCTATAATCCTGTCCTTGGGTAGGTACTTCATATTAAAATCATCAAAACTATTTCATTAAATAATACTTAAACAACAAGATACGTGAGTCCTAACCAGCTAATAAAGTTTCCGTCTGAACGGTCATTGATTATTATCACTACATATTAAAAAACAAAGTCCCCCCGCCGCGTCTGTCTGGTTGTCTGAACGCGATAATTCAAAAACTACCAAACGGATTTCCATGAGGTTTTCACCAATACACGAAATGATTCATGAGGAAGGTTTAAGTGTATAATTCGTTAAGGTTTTATGCAAATTGACTGAAATATACCGATGGTTATTGAACATGTCGGAAAAAATCATGCCGACTTGTTGTAAACCAATAAAATTATATCGAAATAATGTATTACGGAACTACTCTTCTTAAAAAGATCTATTAAACTGTAGCTATGTTATACATTTACGTATGTGGTACAAAGTAGTAGGAACGCACTCGAGCGAAGTGAGTGTAAGTCACCTCTAAAGTACATGTACTACTTAAAATTGTATATTTTATTTCTCATCCTTTCTCATTAACTAAAATGATTATATCATTATTTTATGTTAGCTATGGACATATACTTACGAAGCGTGAACCAGAAATTAAAATTTTCTAAATAATAACTTACGCACGCTTTCCTTGGAACTTTCCCAGGTGAAATATTTCGATAAGAATCTGAGCGAGGGGAATGACGCCAGTAGTTGGCGGATGCTTTCTTAATTAATTTATCGTATTTAATTGGAGGCATGTTTTATAACTGATAAAACTAACTACTAAAGTTATAGGTACTATCGAAGCTTTTCGATTTTTTTCAATAATTTTACGTATGTAGACTATAAAAAAATTGAATTATCACGTATGTGGGACTTGAACAAGATGTCGTTCTATCGCGTCGTTTGAAAAATAGAAATATAAAAAAATATACATAATATGGAAATGACATAATATTATTATTCTATTACCTACATAAATATTGAATTTGTCATTTCAATACAATTTTTACATTTTCTATTCTTCAACGATTGTAGTAATTGCTTATATATAACGTGTCTTCTCCATTCTACGCGACATTGGCGAAGTAAATGGTGACTTAACGGCTCTCCTAGAACTTAAAAGCCATTGAACACAAGAATTGAATTGAATCGATTGTAGTATGGCATTTTGTCTTAGCCCCCTTATTTTACCCACAAAGAAATTATACTACCTTATCAAAAATATATGTACATAACATTACAATGAATATACTTACAAACTTAATTATAATATCGTTTTTTTTATAAACACTCATTATTTATTACTCATAAACCACAAACGAGAAAAAATACATGACATTTTTGAAGTATAAATATAGGGGTGAACACTTCGTGCAAAAATATTTTGCCCCGAGCTATCAAACACTTCCGGTTTCCGAAGTAGGGGATTTGAAGGTCGGTTCACGATTAGACTGTTGACAATATTTCACTACAGCGCAAGTCACATCACCTTTAAAACAATTTTAGCCCTTTCTACTCTATACTCTATTGTCACGGTAATGTTATACATAATTACCATGGTATTATCTATACTATTAATACATATTATAAAGAGGCAGAGTTTATTTGTTTGTTTGTTTGTTTGTTTGTTTGTTTGTTTGAAAGCGCTAATCTCAGGAAAATCCGATATGAAAAATTCTTTAGAAAAATGCATTACATAACCCGTTTATTGAGGAAGGCTTAGACTATATACATATATCATTTAATATATAGTCTATTACATACTAACCGTTAAAGCATACCTATATACGAGCCCGAGCGAAACGAGGGTGAGTCGCTAGTGCAGTATAATTTAACTATGATAACTACATACACTACAACTACATACGTACAGTAATAGTATGGGTACATTTCCTAGCACTGCTTACTGCTACAAATGTCATATATTCCATTATCACAAACTATCATTTCGTTGATGTTAATTCCATACCGAAGAGTGCCTCCCGAGACTCGACGATTTTAACTTGCAAGAAAGCTAACAAATATGGTCTATAAGTTGAATAAAATATTCTGATAAAAAAATATTTGTAATTCGACCAAAGCCATAATTTAAAACCTCTATTGGTCTATTTGACAGTGTAAATTATTCTGTAATCAATTTTTTAGTGGTTAAATGTAAATTAAATAAAGTATTAATATTTTTTGTATACTATTTATTATACCAGAAAATATCATCAAAATAAAATATATATAAGTATAAAAAACATGTTATAAAGTAACATAAAATAAAGATCATCAAACTGATTAACAATCTGGTTCGTTCTTTAAAAATACGCAGAAACAAAATCGATCTTAAAAATAACCCTAAGTCTATTTTAACCGCGAAGGGCCCCTCACAAAGGGCAGTAACAATGATTTATGTCATAGTGTTAAACGCAAGCCTTCTTGCCGCACTTAACCGCACTTCCATGAATCGATTAACCAAAACCAAGGGACTAACACATCCCATTCGTATGTGCAGTACAAAGATTTGCTGACAATGAAAATTGAACCTTTTTTTTTTTTTTTATAGTTGGGAAATCCTATTACGGATACCACCCGACTTCCCCCCCAGGGTGGTTATGTGGAGACTCTCCGGCTAATGAGACCGGCATACCCACTAAAACCCAACTTTCCCCACAGCCGCCATGTGGGACGACACGGGACCGCTTTCGCATACAACCGTGACGCCCCGACGGTTGGCCGAAGCCACCAACCATGAGGCCGCCCCAAGCGGGACGACCCCATTATGGGAAGACTTGCAACCCTGAGACGTGAGACTGCTCCCAAGTCCACTCTGCTGAACAGAGAAGTACCCGGAGCAGCCCCACACAACCAAACACCGCCCACCGAAGTGGGCAACCTGCAAA